AACATAGATAATACGTTAAAAATTCTAATTACACTGGTCAACAGTAAAAATGATTCGATGACAAAATCAGCCAAGTTTAATTTGTATTACAGTATTTAATACTAATATTTCCTTTAATATCGTTAATTTGCTCAAGTTTGAAAATACATGAGGGTATGGCGTTCAACAGTTTTGTTGCTTCCTCTGTGAAGGGGAATGAGGGCACGTTCTTAGCATAATATAAGACAGGAGCGACCTTCAAGGCAATTACTAAATCCCAGAGCTAAAAACATCTAAGACGAGCCATTGGTTGATGCCGAGAAGATTATTCTGCCTCCACAGCACATACAATTGTGGATAATGAAACAACTTGTAAAAGCAATGGCCAGAAACGGTCCAATATCTACAAATATAATTTTCTAGATTCACGAAAGCGAAATAATGAAGGTATTGCTGTCGATCCTCAAATACGAAGTATATTCATCTATAGTTTGATGAAATACTCCAAGTAAAGGAAATGTAATAAATTTAAACTAGCAGCTAATGAGTTTTTTGGCAACAGATGAGAAAATTACGAGGAAATTGTTGAAAATCTTCTCGTAAATGAAGACCTACAATGCAATATGTCCGTAAAAGTTCAATTCCAAGTATACGAGGATTAATTTCTGGTTTAGAAAAAATTCTAGCTCCTCGACCGGGAATCGAACCCGAGGCTCCAGGGTGAGAGGCAAGTGTCCCTTACCACTGGACCACGAAGCCATATATAATGGAGTAGGGCTCTAGATATGCGTGTTCAACAATATACCACATTTGGATTTGTCACAATACTCTTTTCAAATGTGAAAGTTGATGGATAATTTTCTTTCCTCTTCGAGTAGTGAGTGACTATATCGAAACCAATAATTATTGGTATACGACTGATGTAGATAATTGCCATTCCGCTTTAGACTTATCAATAAGAAAATAAATTTTATGAATGACACCAAAACTGAAAGGGGAAATTAGATATAATCTCCCCCTTTTTAACTTGCCACAGCCCTTATGACTAGATTTGTTGTGTGTTTATAATTTAATTTATGAAGCAAAGTAAATTTTTCGTTACATTTCGTTATTTTAGTACAAAGGCTCCTGATAATAATCATAAGAAAATTTTGTATGACCAGCGCAATGTCAAAATTCTAACGATAACTTGTGGATTGAGCTGGAGAGATAAACCGTGTTTGTTTTGTATAAATAATATTGCTATTATGAATCGTATATGCTTTGAGGTAACAAGTACTAAGTGCCAGAATATGCAAATAATGAATTAACAGGAAACATTACAGCTCGTTGGCATAGTTGGTTGGAGCGCGCAGTGCATAAGCGTGATTAGAAATCTGTCTATCGTAGCTGCGGGTTCGAATCCCAGCACTGGCAGTGTCAGTGGGAATGGTTGTATGTTCACGATTTTTTAGAAGACATAGGCATTAAAGTGAAACTCTTTCGTCCTCACAGTGAACTAAGTTAATTTCTGGTACTGTAAAGGAATCATTTTTAAAAACCTGAAATCCTGCATAAAATACTATACATACAGGGTGAGTTTTAAATGCGTAGTTATATTTTAACCCTCAATATATTTCGTCGTGTACAATTGATTGGCACTGTCAAACAATTTTTTTGGACAAAAATTTTTTTTAATTTCTGATAATTTTTTCATCCTACAGCCACTGACATTTTGATAGTCACTGGATAACTTTGTAAACGCCGTTCACAGAAATGACGTAACGGCAGTGTTGCTACTGCCAGAGTTCGTCATCAAAATTATGATTTGCATGAATTGCAAATTTTGAATTTTTAAAAAAATTATTACCCATTTGTCACGAACATTTTGTGAGACGATATTAGACTTACTTAATATCAGTATAGACGCCGCACCAAAACAAATGTAATAGTTTATAAAACATTGAGCTCTTTTTAAGAAAGCATGATATCTGTACACACTGGCCGAAAATAAGAAATAAACTTCAAGGCGGCCAAGGCTCGATTGATTAGTCCTTTGTGGAAAGCGATACTTGTCACTTGTAGCTTGCTCTTAAAATAAAAGGTGTTAAAAGTATCTGTTTATCTATTTTTCCTTGTAAAATTAGGTAATCCTGACACTTTTTTTATAAATAAACAGAATTTCTCCCGTAAGCACCAAATATTAAAAATATGCAATGATTTTTCTATGTATTTTAAATTATTATTATTGTCTGTAATTTATAGTTTAAGTTTAATATGGATCATTTCTAAAAATGATTCAAACTTGAAAATAATAATTTTAAAAAGACGCATTTACTTTAAAAAGAACGAAAAAGCGATTTGTTTACTTACCTAATACAACAGTTACTACATGAATATATCATATGGGCTTGACGTTTGGATAGTATTCTATAGCCGTTTTGCTTGTCTAGCATTTTCATCTACTTGAAAATATGCCTTTAACATATCCAGCATTAAAATAATAAAATTAGTCGCTATGGTTAATCACTAATTTTCACAATATGAACCACCAAAGGAACAAATTATAAATAATAAATTTCGGTAATATAGTAACTCAAAACTTCGAATCACAAATTTAATCACAAAAAAACTATAAATAACGGTATTTTTTGTAAATGCTAATGCAGACAGGTACGCGAACTATCAATACTGATTTTTACATGGGGTGTAGTGTTGCCAGATGTTCACATAGGTTATAAATTTCATTATAAATAAATCATGATGCTTTTCAAAAAATTTCTATTGACCTAACTGACGGTTAACAAAAGAAACAACAGAAAACGGCAAAAGACTATTATTTATTTGGGTTTGCACAACTAGCGCTGTTTACACGAGGTTCCGATTTATAAAGATCTACGTACACGGTATAAAACTTAATTCAGTTTACTCTTTTTTAATGGAAGAACTGACCGAGGTCGGGGCTGACGACCTAAATTTAACTTTTTTTATCAACTTTTGCTAATATTGGTGTAAAATGGTAGACATTTTTAAATAACAGTTTTATTACTTAAAAAAAATGCAGGTACACAAGGAAAATAATGGTATAAATACCATGAAAATGGTATATCTGGCAACACTGATTAGGTGCGTGGTTAGATGTGTGACGATCATAGGTTACATATGCGATGCTAATATCGCAGTTCACATTATGGCGTGGTTGAATTTTTATCATGTAATGGCCTATCCCGAATAAAGTGCTGTTTTCTCAAGAAAAAATTGATCTTTTTTATAAAAAATGACGTATACTATCCTCCTAACCGTCCAGAGTATTATGAAGGAATAAAATTCAAACTGTTGGGTATCACCAGTGTAAAAAGTGACAGAAGTGTATGAAAATACTGCAAATTATTTTCCATCACCTGATATTGTGTTACACCTTCAGTGTTTTACTATTAGAGGCCAATTAAAATAGTAGAGAGCTAATTTATTCCTTGAACACCTACACATTTCAAATTATTGCAATAGCAGAGGCTAAGTACCTACTTCTTAAAAGTAATAATCCTTTTATAAATTTTGAAAAAATGAGATTATAGGAACATTAAATTCCTCTCGAGATTCCCTAAAAAGTTTACTGTTCATCGGAAAATTTAGTTTTAATTATACATTCCATATGAAACTCTTAATTAAAAAGAAATGTTCATTGGTGCAAGAAAAAAGTCAAAATTGTACATTTCTCACATTGAAAGGTATTTCATAATATTTAAAAATTATTTCAAGTGGAGCAATTAATCGTTTAAGTAGCTAATTATTTCGTCCAATGTTATTATAAATTCGGGAATGAACTTAATGCTAAGGCTCGGTTTTTCAATCGTCGGTTAGCTATCACACTTTTAGAATTCGATTTTTCAATTTTACATTTATTTTGGAAGTGGTTATAGCAACAAATATTTTATGCTAAAGTAACTTTTAGTTGAAGTAGTTTGTATTAGAATCTCATCGATTTTTGTGAAAATATAATGCTAGGTAACCTTCAACTTATGTTAACTTACGATTGTAAAATCGCGCCTAGGTGAGAGAATTGCAAAAGATATGCGGCAACGTTGCTTCAGTCCATTACATCATTTTTGCTAAGATATAGAATGTTTCCAGTAACCAGCAGTTCCAAAACAGTTTCATCATATTTTTTTGATGAAAGTCGATAACTCTGTTACACGTGGGAATTAAAAAAATAAAATGTGTCAGAGGGTTTCTACAGATGTCAAGAATCGGTGGTTTAAATATAACTACACACTTAAGACTCACCCTGTATAGAACTTGTGAAAATATATGGGTACACAATTATACACCTTCATGACCTATAAAAACCAAAGAGAAATTGCTCGTCTTGAACTATTTGTTCATGAAAAATATATGCAGCAAAGTATAAAAAATAGTTCATGCCAATAACCAATGATGTTGTCTGAGAGGAACATGAACAATTCATTTATGCAATAGATATTCTAAAAGATATAATAATAGCCTTATGTACTGTGAATTATTTTAACAAAATAAATGGACATAAGTACATTTTATGAGATAGAGGTATCAGATATCTATACGTATTAATAAAAATAGGAATGTGCTTGCACGTTGGCTTGAGACCAAGGGTTCCCGGGTTCGATTCCGTGCTAGGGCATGGATATATAGTGGCGTTTTTAAAATACCAACATGGTAGTACAGTTGACTAAAGCGATGTTGTGTGGAAGACCACGACTAGGCACTGTCTATCTCTTCTGAGTTCGAGTCTCAGTTGCGGTATCTGGCAAATGTCGGAGGAAAAGACTGTTGTGTGTGTACCTGTCGTGGTTGAGTAGTAAAATAGCAATGTACTAAACTCGGCCAGGACATTAATATAAATAAGACGTTTAGAAAAATGGGGCACGAATTCTAGATTTACGATGGTTTCGGTCAGTTGATCTACCCAGGGCCATAAACTCAAAACACACCCATTTATGATGAGAAATTATTGCAAGGTCTGGATTTCAGTTTTATTGAAGACTTATAGTAACATCTACCTGGTTTAATATTGTCCTGACAATCATGCACGTTTTTATGAAGATCGATAATGAAGTGATGAAAACAAACTGAATATTTAGTTTGGAAATTAATCTACAGAATATAGGAAGACACATAATACCGTTATATTATTAATAATAATTACATCGTTTGTTTCGGCAGCACGTCGATAAACCCCAGCATGGTGTCTTCTATAAGAACATAGAAACACTGGGTTTATCGACCAGGCTGACCTTCGCCTTTCTAAGGTCAGCAGGGCTTAAGTCGGAGACCAAGGGATTCATTATGGCCTGCCAAGATGGTGTTATCAACACCTTGGTCTACCGTAGCCGCGTGTGGCGTGTAGAGGTTCCTGATATCAACTGCAGGACCTGCCATCAGGCGCCGGAATCGCTCATGCATTTACTTTCTGCATGCCCCATATATGCGATTTCGGCCTACATCCACCGACATAACGCGGCTTTACGAGTGCTATACTACCATCTAAGGCACTCGTACGGGGTAGACCAGACACCAGTGCTGTCTTACGTCCCCGGAGATATTGAGTCCGTTGTCGAGAACGAGAAATGCCGGATTTATTGGAACTACTCGTTCCCGACTGTCAGGCTAATCCAAGCCAACAAGCCTGACATAGTCCTCCTCGACCATCAACTCAAGGTGATGTATGTTATCGAGTTCTCGGCACCTGCGGAGAAAAACATCACCTTGAAGGAGGAGGAGAAACGGACCAAATATCGCGATCT